TATTTTTTATATTAAAAAATAAGAAACCTATAATTACAATTACAAATTAACATTATCAAATTAAGTTATAATTTAATAAATTATATATTTTATTGACCGAATTGCCGACAATGAGGAAATTCAACGACTTAGATTTCAAGTTTCCAGGAAGAAAAGTGGAAAGGCAAAAAATAATAATAACAATAAATAATTAATAAAAGAATAAAAACAAAAATCTAGAGACTGGTGGTCGGGTAAAAAAGCGGTTTGCTATTGCGCAATTTCAGAACAGTGTATTAAGGTTTGTGATGTTATCGGCGGAAGTCGCGGCAGAAGTATCCGGAAACTTCCTGGCCTGTTATGCTTCCGTGAAGTTTCCCATACTTTGATTAACTCACCCAAAAAAGAAGGGCTAGAGGAAAAATCACATGGCCAGAATCTGGCTACTCAGATTTTGTTGCTATTTAGCCTATTTTAATTGTTTCGCGAGTCTCTTCTTGTGCTTCATCTTTTTACTACTAACAAATTTGGACAAATTTTGGATCACATCTGTTGACCCTTTCTTGGCCATCTCCTATGTCGTTTCGATAGAAGGCCTATCTTTTTTTTCAAACAGAAAAGAACTTATGGTAAACGATAGATTTATATTTATGCGATCCAAATCGCTACTAAACTATCTCAAATCCAATAAGAAAAAAAGTTTAGAAAACTACTAATACTTTGGCGATACAAAAATATTTCAATATTTTTTTCTTACAGATCACCTTAAATCTTGCAACTCCTTGATGAAATATGAACTCTAATTCGCTCTGGTTATGCCTTGTTGCGGACTGAAACACCCAAATTCCCATCAACTGAAGGTGCCCTGGTTGCTCTGTCCACCTCAATCCGATTCCAGAATCCTGCTTCACCTTCTTCCTTGTAGAGGGTCACTACATCTCCGACATCTAAGCAGTTGCGGCGAACAAAGGGTATCCAACCGTCAGAGAAAACAGGTTTTTTGTATCCCTGTTTCCTAGTGGAACATACCATTGGCCACACCCGACCCTCATACCGAATGTTCAATTTTACGGTATGGCCTTCATTGAAATTTGGAAAGAATTCCAGAATCTTTGATGGGATTGCCAGCCTCCTGGTGATATCAGTGCGTTTCAGAGGTTTCTTGAAGAGCCTCGTTGTCTGAGGCATGGTACCAAGATTGGGGTAACGATAAAAATTCTCAGGAAAAGAAAATGTAAAACAGGGAGATTGACGGGAATTTGATAAATGAAATACAGCAGGCGTGCAAGGTGCAGCGGTAGTACCTCTATTTAAAGGGTGAGGATATTATCCCATTTTAAATAATTAATTTTATATTTTTTTTGAGAAGAAAGGATGAAATTACTTGGTGATTCGAGTATGGGGCCGGCAGAGGAAAAGTTAAGGGAGGAGTAGGTTACGAATCAAAACAAAAGCGCTTTTGTCTGGAAGCTATTTGCTTGTTGGATTGGAGAGCAAGTTGACATCCTAAAGTTGCGAGATTTTATTTAAAGTGGACCAACGGAAATTCAGGAAAAAGTGATTACTTCAGAACTTGAGAAGGAAGAAATTACCTGGTGATGATATGTGGTAAAGTAAAGAAGGCTTGTGGGACCTAGATGATGATATGGCTAGCGAGTAGGATTAATTAAGCATTGTCGTTTTATGTTATGTTTGAGGTCGTTTTATTTAGGAGCTTTGGGTTTCATTTCTAAGGTTGTTAAGAAATTGTTTATGTTCTTTATCCTCTACCATTCTTTGTAACCCTTTTGGGAAACCATCTGTAATTTTTCAATATTAATATGAATTGAGTGCAATAGGCATAGATTAAATAAATTCTTTAATTAAATTGTTAAAGTAAAGGGTTTACATATGAACTGCAGATAAGTAATCTGCAGTTCATGTGTAAACTAATTGGTTATTTGATAACATAGCTGAGTATGTGAATAAATAAAGCAAAATAAAATTGATTTATAATCCATTACAACTAAAATATAATTGATTAATAACAAAAATATAATTAGTTACCCATTTGAAATAATTGGTTGTTTTGTTAATTTAATCAACTATGTAAAGAAATAATCAATCATATGAACTTTTCAAATATCAGATATAATTAGTCACAAAAGTAATTTAATCAATTATAAAAACTCAAACTAACAATTTAAATGTTCAATAGTAATCTTTTTTAATAGAAATAAAAGAATCTAACTTTAAATCATGTAACATATAGTTGAAATAAATTAAGAGATAAAAAATAATTATTTTTCATTATATAATCTAAAATAATAAATATATATATATAATGTTAAAAACCCCGAAGTGTTTTCTCTAAGTCTAAGGTATCTTGTTGGAAAGATTTTGAAATTTTCTCAAAAACCCTCTCCAAGACAATTAACTTTCCTGATAATATATGGTTGCTAATGTTGGTTTGTCACTAACTTCTCAAAAACCCTCTGCAAGACTTTTCGAAAGTTAAGTTTCCATAAAATTATCCTTCTGCAAATTCCCTCCTCCTTTCCTATTATTTAATTGAAATATATCACTTGCTCCTCCTCTCTCTCTTTCTGTGGAGCTGGTTCTTTCCGTGGAAGACTAAACTTCCTCACAAGAAAATGTCAGACTTCGTTTAATAATATTTTTTTATATTATTTTAAAATTTTAAATTTTTTATTATTTTAAAATATATAAAATATTAATTAAAATAAATATTAAATATATTAAATATATTTTATATACTTTTTAGATAATAAAAAATAAAAAAACTTACCATTACAATCACAAATTAACATAATCAAATTAAGTTATAATTTAATAAATTATATCTTTTATTGACTTAATTGCCGACAAGGAGGAAATTCGACGACTTAGATTGCAAGTTTCCAAGACAAAGGGTGGAAAGGCAAATAATAATAATAATAATAATAAATAAATAAATAAAAATAAAAATAAAAATCTAGAGACGGGTGGTCGGTTAAATAGCGGTTTGTTATTGGGCAATTTCAGAACAGCATTTAAAGTTTGTGATGCCATCCGGGGAAGTCGCGGCAGGAAAGTTCCCGATTGAAACTTCTTATCATGCGCGCGGCCTGCCATGCTTCCGTGGAGTTTACCATACTTTGACTAAGGGTTTATTTGGTATAATAGTTAAAATTTAGTAGATAACAAATAGTAAGTAATAAATAGTAGATAATAATAATAGATAGTAAGTAGTGATTAACAGGTAACGGATGACGGATAACAGAAAGTGAGTAATAGATGATAAATAATAGATTCGATAAATATAATTGATATAATTGTTAATTATTATATAACTAAACAATTATTGTTTAATATTAAATGACTAATAAAAACATGTTTAAAAA